AAGCCCTTTGATTGAACTTTGTATAGAAAGGGGTTTAGTTATAGGTAATACATATTTTAAGAAAAAGAGGATAAATAAGTATACAAGATATGATGTAGAGCAAAATGACAGTAGTTTGTTGGATTATGTATTAGTAGATAAGACTGTTGAGTAGACTTCAGGATGTACATGTTTATAGAGGGGCCACAGATATATCAGATCACTTTTTAGTTGTAGCTACACTGAGAGTAAAAGGTAGATGGGATACAAGGAGAATAGAAGTATCAGGGAAGAGAGAGGTGAAGGTTTATAAACTAAAAGAGGAGGCAGTTAGGGTAAGATATAAACAGCTATTGGAGGATAGATGGGCTAATGAGAGCATAGGCAATGGGGTCGAAGAGGTATGGGGTAGGTTTAAAAATGTAGTGTTAGTGTGTTTAGCAGAAGTTTGTGGTTACAGGAAAGTGGGTGTGGGAGGGAAGTGGAGCGATTGGTGGAATGGTGATGTAAAGAGAGTAGTAAGGGAGAAAAAGTTAGCATATGAGAAGTTTTTACAAAGTAGAAGTGATGCAAGGAGGGAAGAGTATATGGAGAAAAAGAGAAAGGTTAAGAGAGTGGTGAAGCAATGTAAAAAGAGAGCAAATGAGAGAGTAGGTGAGATGTTATCAACAAATTTTGTTGAAAATAAGAAAAAGTTTTGGAGTGAGATTAACAAGTTAAGGAAGCCTAGAAAACAAATGGATTTGTCAGTTAAAAATAGGAGAGGAGAGTTATTAAATGGAGAGTTAGAGGTATTGGGAAGATGGAGGGAATATTTTGAGGAATTGTTAAATGTTGATGAAGATAGGGAAACTGTGATTTCATGTATAGGGCAAAGGAGGAATAACATCTTGTAAGAGTGAGGAAGAGTCAGTTGTGAGTGTGGGGGAAGTTCATGAGGCAGTAGGTAAAAATGAAAGGGGGGTAAGGCAGCTGGGATTGATGGGATAAAGATAGAAATGTTAAAAGCAGGTGGGGATATAGTTTTCGAGTGGTTGGTGCTATTATTTCATAAAGGTATGGAAGAGGGTAAGGTACGTAAGGTACCTAGGGATTGGCAGAGAGCATGCATAGTTCCTTTGTATAAAGGCAAAGGGGACAAAAGAGAGTGCAAAAATTATAGGGGGATAAGTCTGTTGAGTATACCTGGTAAAGTGTATGGTCGAGTTATTATTGAAAGAATTAAGACTAAGACGGAGAACAGGATAGCAGATGAACAAGGAGGCTTTAGGAAAGGTAGGGGGTGTGTGGACCAGGTGTTTACAGTGAAACATATAAGTGAACAGTATTTAGATAAGGCTAAAGAGGTTTTTGTGGCATTTAGGGATTTGGAAAAGGCGTAAGACAAGGTGGTTAGGGGGGCAATGTGGCAGATGTTGCAGGTGTATGGTATAGGAGGTAGGTTACTGAAAGCAGTGAAGTTTTTACAAGGATAGTGAGGCTCAAGTTAGAGTATGTAGGAAAGAGGGAGATTATTTCCCAGTAAAAGTAGGCCTTAGACAAGGATGTGTGATGTCACCGTGGTTGTTTAATATATTTATAGATGGGGTTGTAAGAGAAGTAAATGCGAGGGTCTTGGCAAGAGGCGTGGAGTTAAAAGATAAAGAATTACACATAAAGTGGGAGTTGTGACAGTTGCTCTTTGCTGATGACACTGTGCTCTTGGGAGATTCTGAAGAGAAGTTGCAGAGGTTGGTGGATGAATTTGGTAGGGTATGTAAAAGAAGAAAATTAAAAGTGAATACAGGAAAGAGTAAGGTTATGAGGATAAAAAGATTAGATGATGAAAGATTGGATATCAGATTGGAGGGAGAGAGTATGGAGGAGGTGAATGTATTTAGATATTTGGGAGTGGACGTGTCAGCGGATGGGTCTATGAAAGATGAAGTGAATCATAAAATTGATGAGGGGAAAAGGGTGAGCGGTGCACTTAGGAGTCTGTGGAGACGAAGAACTTTGTCCTTGGAGGCAAAGAGGGGAATGTATGAGAGTATAGTTTTGCCAATGCTCTTATATGGGTGTGAAGCATGGGTGATGAATGTTGCAGCGAGGAGAAGGCTGGAGGCAGTGGAGATGTCCTGTCTGAGGGCAATATGTGGTGTGAATATAATGCAGAGAATTCGTAGTTTGGAAGTTAGGAGGAGGTGTGGGATTGCTAAAACTGTTGTCCAGAGGGCTGAAGAAGGGTTGTTGAGGTGGTTCGGACATGTAGAGAGAATGGAGAGAAACAGAATGACTTCAAGAGTGTATCAGTCTGTAGCAGAAGGAAGGCGGGGTAGGGGTCGGCCTAGGAATGGTTGGAGGGAGGGGGTAAAGGAGGTTTTGTGTGCAAGGGGCTTGGACTTCCAGCAGGCATGCATGAGCATGTTTGATAGGAGTGAATGGAGACAAATGTTTTTTAATGCTTGATGTGCTGTTGGAGTGTGAGCAAAGTAACATTTATGAAGGGGTTCAGGGAAACCGGCAGGCTGGACTTGAGTCCTGGAGATGGGAAGTACAGTGCCTGCACTCTGAAGGAGGGGTGTTAATGTTGCAGTTTAAAAACTGTAGTGTAAAGCACCCTTCTGGCAAGACAGTGATGGAGTGAATGATGGTGAAAGTTTTTCTTTTTTGGGCCACCCTGCCTTGGTGGGAATCGGCCAGTGTGCTAATAAAATAAAAAAATAATAATAATGGTACGCAGTTTGAAACATGGGGCACATTCGATACTCAAGATAAAATTGGCATGAAAAAGAAAGGTCGAAACTCAAAGCGTTCAATAGTTGATGCATTCAAAACTTGGAGTTACACTGTAAATCCATTCTCGATGATGAAGAGAGAATGTGGGGGTTTTGGTATTCTATTAGAAGTCATTTTGTCAGTCAGGGAGTTTTATCAATTCATGAAATGATAAAGTCCTTGGTGGATGAAATGTTTTCTAATAAAATACCATACATCACACATCGTCATTTTATTTCTGTTTTATTTTTGATTATACATCTGAACTTCCAGGTCTTATTGCTCATGAAAAAACCCTCAAGAGGGGTTTTCTTGAGGGGTTAGCCATCCCTGCCCATGAATGTAATGATAATAGTCATAGTTAAAAATAAATATATGAACCCTATTTAGCTATGTATTGTATAGCACAGTAGACCGTCATTTAACACGAATATATTTGGCACGATTGAAAAATTGAGGCACAATTTTATACAACACTTTGTAAAATTAACTGTACGAGGTTCTGATTTTGGGCGCGAAAAAAATTTCCCCAGCTCAGGCTGCCACCTTGTTGTGGGACAGCACATAAGAATGAGGTAAATGTGACTTTTGTGTGATGACTGACTGACTGACTGACTTACTGACTGACTGACTTACTGACTGACTGACTTGCTGACTGTATTACTAACTTGACTGACTGACTTATTGACTTGACTGACTAACTTACTAAATTGACTGATTTACCGACTTCACTTAGTTACCCTTTTTCACTGAAAAGGACCCTGAAACGGCGTCTAGAGCAGCTGATGCCTTACCGTATGTTGTATAATGTACTGCTGAGTAAAATAGAACAGAAATCCATTACAGAATTTATGCACACTTGAGTACAACCATTGACTTGAGTACCAGAACCTCTACCATCCACCTCAGCCCAGTAGGGCCACAGCATAACTCTTCACTCTCCACAACCATCAACAAACACCAGCACCTACAATTTAAAGTAAGAAATACTATTTTTTCTGTGGTATTTGTAATCTTAAGCAGTGAAAGCAACATAATACATCATGACATTGAGCTAATATAACATATTCACTTTCATTTTTGTAAGATCTGTTGGTCTAAAAAAAAAAAAAGTTGTTTGGCTTTTTGGGGACTCTTAGGAATGTAACCCTATTTTTCCCATAAGTTCTTCAGTTCATCTAACATGGCTTTTACCTAACAGAGCATTTTCAGGAACATAACTACCATGTTAAATGACGGTCTACAGTACAGTACAGGGGTCAATGCCCTTGCGGCCTGGTTTGTGATCAAGCCTCACGGTGGATCAGGGCCTGATCAACCAGGCTTAGAGCCTCATTTATCCTCATTTTCTCATCATTATTATATTCACACATTGCGCTTAACCTGTGTAGGTCACAAAGCACTCAAAGGGCTGAAGGGTCCTTATTCTCTTAATTTCAGCTCCTATCATAACAAGCTACTCTTGCCTATAAATTGGCTAATATACAGCCTCTCTTCACTTAGCGACATACCTGTTTACCAATGCCTCGGACTTACGATGGGCTCTCTGACCAGTATTTATACCTAAATAATGTATATTTGAGCTGATGTCCTCTATTCTGTTTATTTCAATATACACAGTACACTACTGTATAAACATTTAAAAATATACCAGAAATGTGACAAATGGTGCAAAGGTGACATTAAAACAGTATCAAAGATGGTTGACACAAACCCACTACGATTATAGTATGCTCCTCACTTAGTGATGAATTCGTTTAACAATGTGGTCTTTGGAATGGAACTCCGTCGTTAAGTGAGGAGAGGCTGTATAAGTACGTGGTACACATCACAACTTACATCAACAGATATACAAATAACCCGCACATAAAAGAGAGAAGCTTACGACGACGTTTCAGTCCGACTTGGACCATTGACAAAGTCACCAGTGACTTTGTCAATGGTCCAAGTCGGACCGAAACGTTGTTGCAAGCTTCTCTCTCTTATGTGCAGGTTATTTGTGTATCGTTCCAGTCACGGTATTGTGCCTTTTTTGTTATTTAGTTAGTTACATCAACAGACATTTAACATAGAAAGGCAAACTATAGCATTCTTCGAGTGTCTATTAAATTATGTACAGTATATCAGCAGTATTACTACTACTCAAAGCAAATAAGAATTGGTTGATTGGGTTAAGAGACAAAATTGTCAAAATGGGACTGTAGTCTCCTTTCCTATATTTTTGAGATTCTTCATTAAATCCTGTTTTTCTTTTTTCCTAACAGAGGATCATGACCTGGCTGATGGTTTAGCAGAGCTTGATTTTGCCACAAGACATTCATCAAGTGGTTCGGAGGACACCTCATTTCATGAAAATTTAAATTCCAACTTTTCTTTTGGAAACTAGAAATGGTGAGCTAGTGTTGACTACAGGAGGGCCCTGATTATACAGCAAGTTAGGTTCTGAGCTGCTGCTGTAAAACAAAAACCACTGTAAAGTGAGTTTTTTTTTCTTTCAAATGCATGTAAAAGCCTGAAAACATGTTTACACTATCATTATGTGAGCAGTAGAACCCCAGTGGAAGTAAGTTACTCGGACTTTTTTGGGTTATCCTAGGTACTTTACACGTATGCTGCTATGTATGATAATCTATGTAACTGTATTTGTGTATACCTGAATAAACTTTACTTATTTACTTACTTAATAGAGATAGGCCTAATAACTGCATATACAGCACACACATTACTTACCTTAAAATATTTTCGTCTTTAGCTTATAGTGGTGAATATATTTATTGTAGAAAGTCTGAATAAATGAAGAATGGGTATAATTAAAAACCTTTGCATTAGTAAAACTCTCTAAGACAGGGCCCATTTTTTTTTTTTAACACATCTGCCATCTCCCACTGAGACAGGGTGACCCAGAAAAGCAACACTTTCACCATCATTCAGTATAATCACTGTCTTTGCAGAGCCAGTATTCCAAGCCCCTTCTCTAAAGTGCAGACATTGTGCCTCCCACCTCTAGGACTCAAGTTCAGCTAATCGGTTTTCCTGAATCCCTTCACAAAATATTACTTTGCTCACACTCCAACAGATCGTCAGGTCCCAAAGGCCATTTGTCTCCATTCACTCCTATCTAACATGCTCACACACATGCCTGCTTCAAGTCCAGGTTCCTTGCACGCAAAACCTCTTTTACCCCCTCCCTTCATCCTTTCCTAGGATGACCCCTGTCCCTCCTCCCCTCTACTACAAATTTATACACCCTCCAAATCATTCTATTTTGCTCCATCCTCTCTAAATGATCGAACCACCTCAATAACCCCTTTTCAGCCCTCTGAATAATGCTTTTTGTAACTCCACACCTCCTCCTAATTTCCACACTGCGAATTCTCTGCATAATATTTACACCACACATTGCCACATCTTCACTACCTCTAGCCTCCTCCTTGCTGCAGCATTTACAACTTATGCTTAACACCCACGTAAGAGTGTTGGTACCACTATTCTCTCGTACATTCCCTTCTTTGCCTCCATGGATAACGTTCTTTACACCTCATCTGTGTATCTCACTGTAATGTACAGGTGTCCTTGCTTAAAGCAACAGATGTGTTCCTGACCCACAAAGCAACCCTAATGGGACTAGTTCTTAGATTTTGTAAATTCAACATTTCTTGACCAGCAATTATCAGAAAATGAGCTTACATTATTATTATACTACTAATAATCAAATAGTGTTAAATCTGAATGGGTCATACAGCACTTGAGCTTAATGCATGCACCAATGGTCACATACAAAAAGAAAAGAAAGAATTTGGTCAAAAAATTTCAGTCATAATGCCTATATTATTATAATAATTATTATCCAGAAAGCTGAGGAGAGGTAACTGAGGTGGGTTGGACATTTAGAAAGGATAGAGCACAATAGGATGACTTGGAAGGTTCATAAATCTGAAGTGGAGGTGGGTAGAGATTGTCCTAGGAAAGGTTGAAGAGGGGGTAAAGGAAGTTTTGTATGTGAAGGTCTTGGACATCCAACAGGCATGTGTGTGTGTTAGATAGGAGTAAGTAGAAACAAGTTCTTTTTATGACTTGATGTGTTGGTGTAGTATGAGCCAAGTAACTCTCATAAGGGAAACCAATTGGCCAGACTCAAGTCCTGGAGTTGGAAAGTACATTACCAGCACTCTGAAGGAGAGGTGGGAATACTGTAGTTTGGAGGGGCATCTGAACTGTAGTACTGGTGCACCTCTGGCAAGATAGTGATCGAGTGAGTAATTGTGAAAGTATTTTCTTTTTTGGGTCACTCTACTTCAGTAGGAGATGGCTGGTATGTTAAAAAAAAAAAGATTATGGGGCATGATAAAACCATCATAATGGCTATCTTAGTATTATTATTACTATAAATATGGGGGGCACTAAAACCATCATAATGTCTGTATACAAATAACCCACACATAGGAGAGAGAAACTGATGACATTTCAGTCCAACTTGGACCATTTTCAAGATAGTGTGTGACTTGTAAATGGTCCATATAGGACCAAAATGTCCTCATAAGCTTCTGTCTCCTGTGTGCAGGTTGTGTTTTTTGGTCCAGTCGCAGTATAGTGCCTTTTTGTTCATGCCTATAAAATAAAATTTTTTTTTTTTCCAAAAAATTACAAGTACCCCAGAAAGGCACTAAATGGCTATGTGCTAAACATAAATGCAGTTAGGAAAAAATGAAGAGAAAAAAAATGAAATCATGATCCACATCCCTTTTACCCTCCCTCCTATATCAACTAGCCATTCTTTTTCTTGATTGAAGTGTACATGTCATAAACCTTTGATATACCTTTAATAAGTTCCAAGTTCTACTCTGGGAGCCCAGCCATGGGCCAGGCTCATCTGGTGCTTGCCTGGTCAAATAGGCTGTTGCTGCTGCCCCACATATCCATCACAGCCTGGTTGATCTGGCACCCATAGTCTTGATTCTGTAACAGTACAACCCAGCTTTGTCTGATAGGGTATCCATTTTCTTTTGACTTGCCAAAAGACACATTAAACCGAAAACCAACCATAGGATTCTGTTCAAAATATGCTCATTGGATTTCTTGTGACCAAATCATTTATTTCTAATGTTTGTCTATATAGTAGGACCCCTGTATCCATGGATTCTGTATCCACTGTTTACTGTGGCCCAAAAATAACCCTTATTTTGCTTAATAATGGCCCCAAAGTGCAAAAGTGGTGATGCTGACAGTTCTTCAAAGTCTAAGCCGTGAAATGCTTCCCATCAGTGAAAAAGTGATAATTCTAGACTTATTTTGCTTAATTTATCAATTCAACTTTATCATAGGTATGTATGTAAAGGAAAAATGACTTGTATATAGGGTTCACTACTGTCCATGGTAGGTCTTGGATTATATACCCTGTTGATATGGGGGGACTACTGTATAAACCAGTTGATAGGATGAGCGAGTTAACACCACAGTGAATTACTGGTAGAAATGGGGTGACCATATAAAATTGAATTAGCAAAACGTAAACCACATACAGCGAGAAAAATCCATACATGCATTTATTTTTGTGTAAAAACACGTATGACTCAAAACCACTTCCAGAAACATATTAATTTTATTGGCATGAAAAACAGTGGGATAACTTTGGGCTCTATTTTATGAATTAATTCACAAAAGGACAAAAAATTAAGAGGAGTATACTTACAAATATGTACTGCACATCAGTGTTTAAGTACTGTATGTACATATAAAATTTCAGATCATGAAGCTGACAGACATTTTATGTTTTTCCTTAAAACACACTGGCCATGTCCCACCAAAGTAAGATGATCCAAGAAAGGAAACACAGTCACCATCATTCATTCCATAGCTCTTGCCAGAAGTGTGCAGGCAGCCTGTTATTGAAAATATTTTGATTGCTTGGCATACTGTGAATGTTACTAAGGATACTTCTGTCTATTTGTATTTTGCCCAAATCCATAATAGTACTGTATTGTATATGGATTTAGTATAAGTATTATATTGATTTATGTTTTAGTGTAATACTGTTGTTTTTATATTTGGCTGTTGTGGCAATCAGTTATTTATCATGGAAAATACATTAGTTGTGAAAACCAATTGTTAATCACAAAAATTAGTCTGTATTTTATAACAATGTATATTTTTTTTTTAACATGCCGACCATCTCCAACCGAGGCAAGTGACCAGAAAAAGAAGTAACGCTTTCGTGAAGTTTTTCTTTTTACATTTGGTAATGTATACAGGAGAAGGGGTAACTAGCCCCTTGCTGCCAGCATTTTAGTCACCTCTTATGACACTCATGGCTTATGGAGAAAGGATTCTTCTCCACTTCACCATGGAGAATACAGTATATGCATATAATTATTAGCACTAGGTTACACCTTATGTCATTAGTTGATAATGAGAATAAACACCTGCAAAATGCGGTGCCTTCAACATTTTTTTTTATATACCTCATCCTACTTTTAAGAGTTTATATTTTTATTTAACATAGAGTATACTGTGCACTCAGATGAAGGCTTAATTACTAAAAATAGTTGGAAAATTCTGTAAAATGTTTAATGAACATACCCGCTGAATTAAGTAGTAATAACCAAACATGTATGTTTGCATAGTTTATTTTCAATTCATGAAAAACTTCACATTATTATTATATTCACAAAGTTCTACTAAATTCACAAGAAGGCATATATCTGTAGATTCAAAAAATGATATAATGACAAAAGCTCAAAATAGTTTTAAGAGCTGATGCATATTGTGCCTAAAAGCTTAACTACCCTGTTTTACCATTTACCTCTGAAATTCTACAAATTTCAGAAATTCCTTTATGAAATAAAACTGATATGATTCATCTCAAATTTACAAATAATTCAAGTTTGACTCACATAATGCAGTGCCAGGCCATAGGTAAATCCTAAATAATGTTTTAATAACAAGAAGTTATACCACTAAGCACAGGAAGTCATGTTTACCTCAGATAATTCAACAGTTATGCTAAGGAATTTATAGAAGGCAAAGATATCAATATGAAGAGAATAAAGAATAGAGGCAATAGCAGTAATAGAAGAGTAAGGAGACAAACAGAAAAAAGGGATGGAGAAGGAAGAAGTTTGCAGGGAAAACAAGAGGAAAAAAAGGTGGAAAGAATGGAGGGAAGAAGATGGCAGAGAAAGATAAAGGGGAAAGGAAGAAAAAGAATGATGATTTTTTTTATCTACTGTATGTATACAGAATCTACTCTTATCATTTGCCCACTCTGAAAATTCCCTCTATTAGTACAAGTGAAGCATATATATTTTTTTTTTATAAAAATGTTAATTAACTCTTCTAAAATTCCTTACATCAACTGTATTATCAAATGGGTAACTTTTTTTTTTATCATTCTGCACTCTAGAACACTATAATGTCAATAATATATACCAGTACAGTATTGCATAAAAAACAATGACAGTTTTGACACAAGTCAACTTTGCCTAAAAAATGCAAGTAAATACAACACTTCTCAGCCTTTCTATCAATCACCAATATTCTGAGGTTGACAAAAGCAGAATGTTTCTCTTTTGCTTTAAATATGAGGCATGCAAAAACAGCATGTGTCAGAATTCTTCAACTGAATTTTGTCTCAATTTTCTACCTTCCTGAATAAATAAAATTAGAAAATGGCTTCATAGAAGTCTACAGCTTATTTAGATTAAGTATTACCCCAAGGATATAAAAAAAAAAAAAAAAAAGCTCTTATTACTTCAAAAATCTCACACGAAGTAAAAATCTTTGTCTAATCCTCCCTTTCTTATGTCCAAGCAGAAGTTGGGAAAACACATTAAATGCTAAAACAATTTTTTTTTAATTATCTTCAAACACTACCATTTCCTCTAAATATATGAGAATCTTTAAATGGTTTACAAAATAAGAATATCCTGAGAAATAAAATAACGGAGCCAATTGTACGGGATGTTCATTAGCTTCTCTGATATGCTTAACCTTTTAAATTGTTATATAAAAAATCAAAAAGAATAACACACATACATAGTTAGCTGTATCTAATATGACAAATTCTACTTGCATCGTCTTAAAATTATTGAACTATGACACTATTATGAAATGAACTCATATAATGATAGCCCCCCCTCCTGATGATCTATCAGGGATCCTTTCAAGGAAGGGATGCCTTGATCCTGGTGAAGGGTTCTTGATTCAAGGAAGTGGAGCTGTCCTCCCCTTAAATGAAACCTGATTACCTCCAAGGCACTGTTTGATCCAAATGAAGCACTTCCCATAAGTATAACATAAATGACAATAATAATAATAATAATTAATTACAAGACTTCCTCCTGTGTACTTACAGGTTCAGAACACCTGTAGAGGTTTGCTATTTCAGTCCCATTCTTAAGAGATATTAATATTAGTAATGAGTACATATTTTTTTTAGTATTAAGAATCACATCACACTTGATTAATTCATTCACTTTAATTTCGTTACACCAGGTCTATAGAAAAGCCATACAGATACAGTAAATGAACAAAAGCTTGCTGAAACCATTACTGTACTAGGTAAATTTAAAGTAAGAAACATTGTAAAGAAAATCTACCACACTGTTGTATTTAATACTGTACATATCTCATAGTGCTAAACTGGTGTGGGTCATTCAGCTATATTGTATTATATATTATAGGCAAAACAAAAAAGTAAATATAGTACAGCCTCTCCTCACTTGGCAACATACTCATTTACTGACGACTTGGACTTATGACGTGCTCTTTGACCAGCATGCATACCTAAATGATGTGTATTAGAGCTGATTTCCTCTATTTTATTTATTACAATATACAGTACACTACTTTATAAACATTTAAAAATACACCAGAAATGTTATGAATGGTGCAAAGGTGACATTAAAATCAAATCAGAAATGATTGACACAAACCCCACTGCCATTATACTAGTATGCTCCTCAATGACGAATTCATTTACTGATGTGGTCTTAGGAACGGAACTCCATTGTTAAGTGAGAAGAGGCTGCATTCTGTTTATTACAATAAACAGTAAACTACTCTATAAACATTTAAAAGTATACTAAAAATGTTATAAATGGTGCAAAGGTAACATTAAAACAATATCAAAGATGGTTGACACAAACCCACTACCATTATAGTATGCTCTTCATTTAGCGATGAATTTGTTTACCAAAGTGGTCTTAGGAACGGAACTCTGTCATTGAGGAGAGGCTGTATTGTAACAAGAATGTGGCAGCATATGGATTAGGTTAATGAACACAGATGCAACTAATGTAACATTATATTGTGGCAATGTTTTACTCTCCAGGAGCTTATGTTAAGCAGTTACTGGAAAGCAAAACATTGCCACAATAAGATGTCACATTAGTTGCATCTGTGTCCATTTACCTAACATTTTGTCAGTAATTCTACCATTATTACTAGCATATGGGCTGTTTGTCAAAACTTAGACATTTAAATAAATTATAAAAAACTAAATACCAAAGGCTGGACACTTAATAGGTTAGTTCTCATCTTGTGGCTGCAAATATATACAGAAATAACATAGTGTATTACTACTGTAAATCCTCGTCCAAGACTAGGGAGAAATAATGAGGGATGTTTTAAACGTACTGCAGAAATTTTGATTCTAATTAAATGATTATTTCTGAAATTTAAAATTTAGAAGAATAAAGATGAATGATTTAAGTACAAACTAGTACCACAGCAATATTTTTTTTAACAAGAGCTACAGCAAAATTCAAAGCTGCTACAATAGATTTTGAAAATGGCTTTATTGCTGAAAAAGTATTATATCTTCCTAGTTTAAAAACCTGTGTATTTACTAGGATTACAATATAGTACAGTGGAACCCTGGTTTTCATCCTTAATCCATTCCAGAAAGCTGGTCGAAATCCGAAACAGACGAAAACCAAAGTAATATTTCCCATAAGGAATAATGTAAATCCAATTAATCCGTTCCAGACACCCAAAAATATTAACAAAAAATATATTTTATAAAGAATAACTATAGTTTTACATACAGAAAACAATGAGAAATAAATATAAAGCACTAATTTTAATGGATAAATGAACATTGGCATATTCTTTACGAGATCCGCATGCAACTGCCTTGCCTTTTCACAAATTATCGCCTCCACAACACTATCTCCCGCTAACTGTTTTTTGTTGATCCACACTAACAACAACAACTCAACATCTTTGATTGTTTGCCATCACTACCACCCTCTACCACATCACTACCACCCTCTACCACCAATGCACAGAGTATTGTTCACTGAATGAGAGACAGAGGCAAATTGAGTCAGGTATGTGTGAGCGGCGGCGGCCCGGGCGGGCAGATGCATCTGATACAGATGATTTCTAAGCGGATGCATGAAACCTGGGGTAAAAATTTGCCGAAAAAAGTTGTCGAAATCCAAATTGTACGATATCAGGACCAGACAAAAACCAGGGTTCCACTATATATACGTATTTGTATTTCATTGCGCCTGTACAATATCTACTTTAGCTTTTTTCCACATTATTATATTTAGGGGCAAGCAATAAATCTGCAAGAGTTATACAGCACCTGGGAAATGGGAGGTAATGAGGTTATATCCAAGGGGTTCCTCACTAGCACCAAGGAACCTTACTTAACAGGTCATTTTTTTCCCATAAATTTCAAAATGGTCTTCATTATAAAATAGCCAGGGACCCCTGTGTTACAATGTAGTATAAAAATGGAATGTTTAAATGGCCAACTCAATGCATAATAATAACTTTTGTATGCAATTCCTACAGCTGAACTTCTATTCAGAATAATTTTATATTCTCGGGATACAGAAAATGCAATTTACATTACAGTATAAAGTACATTACACTTCTTACAAGAAAAACTATGCTCAACAAATAAAGTATTTTAACATTACTACGTATAGAATAATTCAAATGATGAGGGCAGAAGAAAGTGCCTAAGCACACTCCTTATAATAGGTCTATACAATACACATATGTACCTTCTTTGGGTTACCCTTCCTTGGTGAAAACTGCTGGCATTAAAAAAATACATACATGCATAGATATACAGTATGTATATGTATGTATGTAAAAGTTACTCCAATAGTTTTCTTGACACTACTTACATCCAAACACATTTGTACCAGCAAAGTTGAATAAGGGATTGAATATAAACTGTTAGTCTGCAAAAGAATATATACTGAATGGTAGATATTGTATATCACCAAGATCATGCACCCTTTACTAACAAAGAATGGTATACAGCTTTAGTTTATATCTGGATGATACTTGAGTGTACTCTGTGAACTTTTGGGCACCATTCTAAACAAACCGTGCAACCTATAACCCAGTTATTCTTCCAAGATCGGAAATGCTGTATAAATATTTTTTATAAGCCATATATATATACATACATAATATACTGCATATACATAAAATAATGTTAAATTTTATGGGTATATACACAATATTAATGCTCTTTACAGTTTATTATTCTGCTTGTGAAGTCTTTGGTATAAAATAAGTTTTTCTGCTATAGCAACTGTGATGATCAACAATCTGAGATAACTCAGAAACTCACAACAGAGCAAGCAACAGAACACTTCCTTGTGGAGCCTTACAGTATCAAGCAATATCCTTGAAAATACAATACACGTAGTACAAATAAATTAATGTAAAACATTGTACAAGCCCAGAAACCACGCACAGATCACAGGCATAGGAGCCCCGACAGGCTTATTCCCTCAATAACCCAAAAGTACAGCAACGTCACCAGAATTTTTACTCGTACGGCACCAACCAGCCTTTATAAGGAGACACTAAAATGGTAACTGAAATGAGTACCCTGTATGATGCTCTCACGAGGCCTGGAACCTCGTCTGGCTACTGACCCCTTAGAGGATGCAGTATAGGGCTCTTCATTCAAGGAACTGGAGCCACCCTCTTCTTCCTTGGATCAAACCTGATTATTTCTTATTTCCTAGGTGCCATTTAACTCCTATTTAGCACTGCCATTAATAATAATTGATAATAATAATAAAAAGAATAAGAAGAAAATTGTTAAAGTGGGAAGTCTGAATGTGCGTGGATGTTGTGCAAATGATAAGAAAGAGATGATTGTGGATGTTATGAATGAGAAGAAGCTGGATGTCCTGGCTTTAAGTGAAACAAAGCTGAAGGGGGTGGGAGAGTTTCAATGGAGAGGAATAAATGGGATTAGGTCAGGGGTTTCAAATAGAGTTAGAGCTAAAGAAGGAGTAGCAATAATGTTGAAGGATAAGCTATGGCAGGAAAAGAGGTACTATAAATGTATTAATTCAAGGATTGTGTGAAGTAAAATAAAGGTTGGATGTGAAAAGTGGATTATAGTAAGCGTGTATGCACCTGGAGAAGAGAGAAGTGTAGAGGAGAGAGAGAGATTTTGGGAAATGTTGAGTGAATGCATGGGGAGTTTTGAATCAAGTGTGAGAGTAATGGTGGTTGGGGATTTCAATGCTAAAGTGGGTAAAAATGTTATGGAGGGAGTAGTAGGTAAATTTGGGGTGCCAGGGGTAAATGTAAATGGGGAGCCTTTAATTGAGCTATGTGTAAAAAGAGATTTGGTAATAAGTAATACATATTTTATGAAAAAAGGATAAATAAATATACAAGGTATGATGTAGCACGTAATGAAAGTAGTTTGTTAGATTATGTATTGGTGGATAAGAGGTTGATGGGTAGGCTCCAGGATGTACATGTTTATAGAGGGGCAACTGATATATCGGATCATTATTTAGTTGTAGCTACAGTTAGAGTAAGAGGTAGATGGGAAAAGAGGAAGGTGGCAACAACAAGAGGGAGGTGAAAGTGTATAAACTAAGGGAGGAAGAAGTTCTGGTGAGATATAAGCGACTATTGGCAGAAAGGTGGGCTAGTGCAAAGATGGGTGGGGGGGGGGGGGGGGGTTGAAGAGGGTTGGAATAGTTTTAAAAATGCAGTATTAGAATGTGGGGCAGAAGTTTGTGGTTATAGGAGGGTGGGGGCAGGAGGGAAAGAGGAGTGATTGGTGGAATGATGAAGTAAAGGGTGTGATAAAAGAGAAAAAGGTAGCTTATGAGAGGTTTTTACAAGGCAGAAGTGTTATAAGAAGAGCAGAGTATATGGAGAGTAAAAGAAAGGTGAAGAGAGTGGTGAGAGAGTGCAAAAGGAGAGCAGATGATAGAGTGGGAGAGGCACTGTCAAGAAATTTTAATGAAAATAAGAAAATATTTTGGAGTGAGTTAAACAAGTTAAGAAAGCCTAGGGAAAGTATGGATTTGTCAGTTAAAAACAGTAGATGGGGAGAGGGAGGTATTAGGTAGATGGCGAGAATATTTTGAGGAACTTTTAAATGTTGAGGAAGAAAGGGAGGCGGTAATTTCATGCACTGGCCAGGCAGGTATACCATCTTTTAGGAGTGAAGAAGAGCAGAATGTAAGTGTGGTGGAGGTACGTGAGGCATTACATAGAATGAAAGGGGGTAAAGCAGCTGGAACTGATGGGATCATGACAGAAATGTTAAAAGCAGGGGGGATATAATGTTGGAGTGGTTGGTACTTTTGTTTAATAAATGTATGAAAGAGGGGAAGGTACCTAGGGATTGGCGGAGAGCATGTATAGTCCCTTTACATAAAGGGAAAGGGGATAAAAGAGATAGTAAACTTATTCCTCTATAATTTTTACAGAGTATACCAGGAAAAGTGTACGGTAGGGTTATAATTGAAAGAATTAGAGGTAAGACAGAATGTAGGATTGCGGATGAGCAAGGAGGTTTCAGAGTGGGTAGGGATGTGTAGATCAAGTGTTTACATTGAAGCATATATGTAAACAGAAATTTAGATAAAGGTAGGGAAGTTTTTATTGCATTTATGGATTTAGAAAAAGGATTGATAGATGGTTAGAGGAGTTTGTGGCAATGTTGAAAAAGTTTTATGGAATAGGGGGTTTAAGTTACTAAATGCTGTAAAGAGGTTTTTTGGGATGTGAGGCTGGTTAGGGTGTGTAGAAGAGAGGGAGACAAATTCCCCGGTTTAAAAGTAGGTCTTAGACAGGGATGTGAAATGTTACCATGGGTTTTTAAATATTTTTTATAGATGGGGTTGCAAAAGAATTTAAATGTTTAGGGTGTTCGGGAGAGGGGTGGGTTTAAAAATTTTGGGGAATAAAAATTCAAAATGGGAAAATTGGGCACAAATTCTTTTTGCTGATTATTTTCTGTTTCTTATGGGAGATTCTAAAGAAAAATTGCAAAAGGTTTGTGGATGAGTTTGGCCCAAATTTTGTAAAGGGGAAAATTGAAAGTGGGAAAATAGGGAAAAAAGGGGAAGGTGATGGGGTATCAAACGATTTAGGAAAAAAAGAAAAATTGGATACAAAAATTGGGGGAAAAGGGGGGGTATGGAAAAAGTGGGAAATTTTTTTAGATATTGGGGTTGAGTGTCGGCGGATGGTTTTTAAAAGGATGAGGTTAATCATAGAATTGATGAGGGAAAAAAGGTGAGAGTGGGTGAGTTGAGATATATGTGGAGTCAAAAAACGTTATCTATGGACGCAAAGAAGGGAATGTATGAAAGTATAGTAGTACCAACACTCTTATATGGATGTGAAGCTTGGGTGGTAAATGCAGCAGCGAGGAGACGGTTGGAGGCAGTGGAGATGTCCTGTCTAAGGGCAATGTGTGGTGTAAATACACCTACCATCCGACTTACGACCTGCTTGACTTACGACCACTCGACTTACGACCATGTTTTTTATGCCAAATTTCTGGGAAATAAACAACTATTTGTGTTGTACACAGTGTTTATCCTAAACCTTACAGTATAAAATACAGTACTAACAGGATAAAAAGTAAAGTAAAACATGAAATACCAAAATAAAACAATAAAATAAAGTCATTACAAAAATGTTATGTTGATATTCAGTAGTAAAGTTCGACTTACGACCATTTCGACTTATGACCAGTTTCTCGGAACCGAACTCGGTCGTAAGTTGGATGGTAGGTGTATTATGCAGAAAATTCGGAGTGTGGAAATTAGGAAAAGGTGTGGAGTTAATAAAAGTATTAGTCAGAGGGCAGACGAGGGGTTGTTGAGGTGGTTTGGTCATTTAGAGAGAATGGATCAAAGTAGAATGACATGGAAAGCATATAAATCTATAGGGGAAGTAAGGCGGGGTAGGGGTTGTCCTTGAAAGGGTTGGAGAGGGGGGGATAGAGGTGGTTTTGTGGGCGAGGAGCTTGGACTTCCAGCAAGCGTGTGTGAGCATGTTAGATAGGAGTGAATGGAGACGAATGGTACTTGGGACCTGACGATCTGTTGGAGTGTGAGCAGAGCAATATTTAGTGAAGGGATTCAGGGAAACCGGTTATTTTCATATAGTCGGACTTGAGTCCTGGAAATGGGAAGTACAATGCCTGCACTTTAAAGGAGGGGTTTGGGATATTGGCAGTTTGGAGGGATATGTTGTGTATCTTTATACGTATATGCTTCTAAGCTGTTGTATTCTGAGCACCTCTGCAAAAACAGTGATAATGTGTGAGTGTGGTGAAAGTGTTGAATGATGATGAAAGCATTTTCTTTTTGGGGATTTTCTTTCTTTTTTGGGTCACCCTGCCTTGGTGGGAGACAGCCGACTTGTTGAAAAAAAAAAAAAATAATAATAATGGAACTAGGTAGTAGGTTGGTAGACAGCAGCCGCCCAGGGAGGTACTACCATCCTGCCAAGTAAATGTAAAATGAAAGCCTGTAATTGTTTTACATGATGGTAGGATTGCTGGTTTTTTCTGTCTCATAAACATGCAAGGTTTCAGATACGTCTTGCTACTTCTACTTACACTTAGGTCACACTACACATACATGTACAAGCATATATATATACACACCCCTCTGGGTTTTCTTCTATTTTCTTACTAGTTCTTGTTCTTGTTTATTTCCTCTTATCTCCATGGGGAAGTGGAAAAGAATTCTTCCTCCGTAAGTTATGCGTGTTGTAAGAGGCGACTAAAATGCCAGGAGCAAGGGGCTAGTAACCCCTTCTCCTGTATATATTACTAAATGTGAAAGGAGAAACTTTGTTTTTCCTTTTGGGCCACCCCACCTCGGTGGGATACGGCTGGTGTGTTGAAAGAAAGAATAATAATAATAATGGAAGTGGGAAGTACAGTGCCTGCACTTTGATGGATGGGATGGAGATATCTGCAGTTTTGAACTGTAGTTTTGGCACACCTCTGGCAAGATAGTGATGATGAAAGTGTTCCTTCTTTTTCAGGTTATCCTACCTCAGTAGGGGATGGTTGGTGTTAAAAAATAAGTAATAATGGACATGATGATGGAGAGAGCAGAGCAACATTTATGAAGGGATTCAGGGAAATCAGTTAGCTGGACTAGAGTTCTGGAGGTGGGAAGAGCAGTGCCTGCACTCTGAGGGAAAGCTTAGAATGTTGCAGTTGAAAGGTGATCTGAATCATGATGTCAGTACACTTTTGGCAAGACAGCAACTGAATGAGTGACAGTGAATGTGCTTCCTTTTCTCTGGGTAACCTTACCTTGGTGGGAGATGACTGAATTAAAAAAAAAGAAGTGGGGAGGGGGAGGAGAAGGGAATGTGCCTAAGTACAGTGGTACCAACACTGTTGTAAGGGTGTGAAGCATAGATTTTAAATTTTGTAGGGAGGCGGGGAATGTGAATAATATGCAGAGAATTTGGAGTTTAGAAGAAAGTGTGGCATTACCATAAGTATTATTCAGAGGGGCTGAGGAGGGTTTGGGGTGGTTCAGACATGAGAGGATGGAGAAAAATAGGATGACTAGAAGAGCATATAAATCTGGAGGTGGAGGGTAGTAGAGGTAGGAGTCATTAAAGAAAAAGCTGGAGGGAGTAAAGGAGGTTTTGAGTGCTAGGGCTTGGACATCCAACAAGCTTGTGTAAGCATGTTAGATAGGAGTGAGTGGAGGCAAGTGATTTTTATGATTTGCCATGCTGTTGGAGTGTGAGCAAGGTAACACTTAGGAAGGATTTTAGGAAAACCTGTTTGCTGAACTTGAATCCTGGAGGTGAGAAATATTGCCTGAACTCTCAAGAGGTGTGGACGTTGCAGTCTGGAGGGTCATCCGAACTGTGATATCAGTACCCTTCTGGCAAGACAGTGACTGGATGAGTAACAATGAAGTTTTTTTTTAGTTGGGTAACCCAGCCTTGGTGAGAGAGCCAGTGATAAAAAAAATAACAATATTAATTCTGTTTTCTGAAGAGGACCTTGGAGAAGGGCTAAAATATACAATACTTGTTTCAGTTACTATTTTACTGTCTCTCTGTCAATTCACTCTTACTAGTGATGTTTAAACACTTTTGTTTATTCTCTATATTGTAATTTGATAAATTCTTTTGTTTATTGCCATTTATGTTACTGTACTTTATTAGTTAATTAGTTTTCATGTCATTCCAGGTGGTCCTCTTTTACAAATTTTGTACATAATTAGCATAGTAAAAAATTCTGTCGAAAGATTTTAATTATCACTTGAACCATACTACAAAAAAATACAAGTTATTAGAGACAATATAATACAATGGTTTAAAAATACAAGTTGAAGCATTAGTGTTCCTAGTGATGTGAATAATTTACTAAATATATTTTTTTTGCACACGATAAATAATATCATTAGTCTTCTTGCCTGTTCTTAGAAAAAGTATTGATGGAAGAAAATTTTAAATCTCCAGTTGATTAATGGAATCGAGCGACTCTGTATTACATAAGTAAAAGGTCTTTTGTCAAGGATGCGAAAAGAAATTATATTAAAGACACTAAACCTATAAGGCTTGGGCAGCTCTGTCAAAAGAACTAGAGCAGAAGAGACACTTACGTCTTTCCTACAATTACGGTCATTTTTATCACATTGTCCAGTACTATGTAAAACATTTTTAATTAATTTTGTACATAATATATATTTCTTCTACATTTTCTTGCTTTGTTTCTATAAATAACCATCCAACATTGCAAGTTGTTCAGCACATGTGATATTCACACATCATACTATCCATTTTGTACAAATTTTTTATAAAATCTCACTGAGGACATTGGCTGGAGAATAGAGAAAGCTGAGATAAATTACCTTATATTCATGCTTTCATTTATTTTTTCATCTGTGTCAGTACCTAACATCTGGAAATAAGATTTCATGGTTATCTGTCCCAGATTCAAATATCTTGACAAGATTTTTACAATTATCAATAACAATGTCTAGTAAAGATGTTTTTGAGGTGCATTAAGCTGTGAGTGCTACAAAATGTGTATGTGAATACTGATTAGTATTAATAAAATTAAAAATTAAGATTATGCATGAATTTATAGTTCACCATTACTAATACTATTCTGTGGATTTACGGTACCCAGTTCGAGTTAACCATTTAGGTAATGTAATGGAAAATTTCTTCTTCAATGAATAGAGGATAATTTTTTTTGTTGTATTCTCTCATTATAATTTGAGACCATTTCTGTGGTATGCACTTGATATAATTTAAAGCCAATTTTGTGAAATAAAGTCTACTTTATGTAATATAATTTGAGACCATTTTTGCACTGCCTCTAACAAATACTGGCATGATGAATGAGCCACCTATCTTGATCTAATGGGGTTGTAAATTGATGCCTCCAAAACCTTGTTCATTGGGATGATTACTTCTCTATTAAAGTTCACAGAACAACTATGTATAAAATTTAGTAAGCAAACTGATAATGATTTGTGACAACATAACTCATGTATGGAGAAAAAAAGGAGCTGGCTAGACATTAAAAGTGGATGAGCAATGAACAGCTTAGACTGCAACATAAAGGAAAAGCATAAACAGTGTTTTTAATTCCAAGAAATGTATTTACTAATTTATATACACAGTACATACACAACACACACACACACCCACCCACACTCATACCCCCACATTCATAGATCAAATAAAATGACTCATATTTACAAATGATATTGCAAAGTACAAGTGTTATGCTTCTGTACTAAAAGCACCAGGCAAGTTGTTGGGCACTGAACATATGAAGGAAGCTAACACAAATAATTCTAGAAATTCACAAATAACCTGCACGCTGAAACAAAATTTTGTCAATGTTCTGGTTCATCTTGGGCCATAATCAAGTGACTTGACTATAGAAACCATACCACGGGTGGGGATAGAACCCGCGATCTGAGAGTCATAAAACTCCAGACTAATGTGCTAGCCAGTGGCTAGCGCGTCAATCTGGAGTTTTATGACTCAGATCGTGGGTTCTATCCCCGCTCCTGGTATGGTTTGTTTGCAACCGTGTCATTACGATTTCGTGAGTCATGTCGACTTGACTATAGTCCAGGGTGGATTTAAAAATATCAATTAAGTTTCTTCTCTAAGTGTTTGTTATTTGTAACTTATTCCAGCCATGGTACTGTGACTTCTTTTTTATGTTACACAACTAATTTTATTAATGCACTTATTTCATAAGGATGTAAATTATAGGCAAGTCCTTTCATCTGAAACACAATATTTCTCCTATCACAACTAAGGAAGATTCTCACGTGTGGTATTCACTCTGATGGTAACACAGTATAAATATCCTTAAAATAATCACAGTAATGTTGCATTAAACATTCGGAAAATCTATTATAATGATCCCCATTATAAAGTAAGAAATGCATCAAATATGTTTTATCAGTAATGTCTCCAGTTTCATTACCTTGAACAAGACTATCAAGCCTCAGCTGAACACATTTCTACTAAAATTTGAACAAGTTAAGGATTGCAACTGAAATGTGCTCTGAAAGATGAATGCAGAAAAGACTAATGAGAGGACTTCTTGCACCTGTAAATGTATATTTTACAGAGAGGACCAACAAGAAAATCATGTCTTTCCTCCATGGCCACAGACATCAACTTAAATGTTTGCCATGAGGTAGGTTTGTGTTTATCAAGGTTCCATGTGAACACTCAAAAAATTTTTTGCTGGAGAACTTCCACAACACTATTTTCCCTAGGATGTCAATTTAGTCATAGAACTGATAAAACTATATTGTAATCTATTACATGATTAATGAAAATTTCTACAGCACTTTCAGAAATTGACTATGGCCATTGGAAATTCCTTCTCAACTGTATTAAGTAATGTGTACAATACTGGAATATTTTATATCAGTTTTTTTTTAAATTTCCCCAACTAATGTCAAATGGTTGATATGTTGATTATGTACTCTGTCTTTGTTCATGTATGGAAAGATGTGAAGCCCCCTAAGTGTCAATATATTGTATCCTTCCATGGCCAGGCTGTGAGTAGAACTCTCAAAGCAGTCACAATTATATTATGAAATGACTGAGTTAATCAATTCATGAACAAAAATATCTATAGAAATGATAGGTCTTCTTTATATTTAATGTTTATTGAAAACCTATAATCATATGCTGCTATATGCATTATTATGTGAACCACCAAAAATGAGTTAAACGTAATGTATTTTGGTTTTCTCAGAGTCCTGAGTTCTTTATTAGTGAATCTGATAAGTTTACTAAGAATTTATTCAACTTACAAACCCTATATATGTTCATCAATAAAGCTTTGTGCAAGAAAATGAACTGTAGAACTCAACAGAAATGGAAATTTGAGAATTAGTATTTCTATACACTGTAATGGCAATATCTCTAACCTCCTTGAAGATCTAAAATATTTTATTGTGAATATTTTAAAAAATCATATCTTAGCGAAGAGAAACTGATAACAAAAATTATCAGTATCACTGGGATGTGCTTATTTGGTGTCTCGCAAAGGTTTTAACAACTTATACAGAACATATGAGGAAACTTCAAGCCCAAAATAGAACAGCATAAATATCCTATATTTATTGGACAGGAGTCCAGTGCTTTTTTTATTCATTTTAGGAAAACAGGTTATTGTGCAAAATGTACTAATGCCAAAAAATTCCTTCCTAGAAATTCTCTTATATCATCATCATCTTTCAACGCACCAGCCGTATCCCACTGAGGTGGGGTGACCCAAAAGGTAAAACAAAAGTTTCTCCCTTTATATTTAGTAATATATACAGGAGAAGGGGTTACTAGCCCCTTGCTCACAGCATTTTAGTCGCCTCTTACAACATGCATGGCTTACGGAGGAAGAATTCTGTTCCACTTCCCCATGGAGAAAATTCTCTTATATACCCTAACTTTATATATTTAGGGGAACACATAAATCTGTAGGGGTCATACAGTGTCTAGGGAATGAGGCAACTGGGTTTGATCCAAGGAAAGGGAGAACAAGTCACTAACCTGAGACTATCTCCTCATAAAAATAATAAGAACATAAGAAAGAAGGAGCACTGCAACAGGCCTACTGACCCATGCAGAGCAGGTCCATGTCTCCCCCTGAATTAGACCAATGACCCCCCCCCCCCGGAGTAGCCCAATGACCCACCCAGTCTGATCATCTCCACTCAAGGATGGAGCACTGCACCAGACCCAGCAGCACAAGCTAGTCAGGTCCAACTCACATCCACCCACACCCACTCATGTATTTATCTAACCTATTTTTAAAACTACACAACTTTCCACCTTTTCTATATAATTGAACTGCAGTCACAATATTTCCCTATTTACCCATCAAATGCCATTTTGAAATTCATAAATGCAATAAACAGTTCCTGTCTCTTTTCCAAGTACTGCTCACATATGCTTAAATGTAAACATGTAAGCAACACACATTTACTTTACTGTTTGTTATTAGAAAATTTGCTGATCCCTTGTAAACAATGTGATATATTTTTGATAGGACAGTTTGGAAAAATCTAGTATGAATATTAAAATTTAGGATGCATATAGAGCATTATCTCTGGCTAGAATTGAAATGCTGTTTATTCATGTTATCAATTCAAATTATCCTACAGACTGGTAAAAATACAGGAAAATTTTCATATGCAAATCACTGATTGAACAAATAATAATATATTAATAGCTATGTTCAATGACAAATTCACTCTTCACAAGACTGGTCCAAAACCAAGTTGATTCCACAGGGAGAGTGCAGTTGCCCTGTCTATAAGCCCCCTACTACTACATTGCAGTTAACCAAGAGATTACTTGTTCCAAATTCACTTGTATTTCATGTCATTATATATAATCCCATCCATCAAAATACTGTTTCATCCACTTGAACACATCAGCCAATTCCCAAGGCAAAAATGGCCCAAAGAAAAACACAATCACCATAATTTACTCCCTAGCTATCTTTTCAGAAGTGCATGGACATTACAATCCAAATGATCTACTGAACCACAATATGCCCACCCATCACTCATTCCCTCACTTTATGCACACATACTAGTATGAAGGTACCAAAATGCTTAAGCTTTTCATTGTTCAACCAAAATGCTAGTATTCAGAATTGTTTCCTTCACATGCATAAAAATTAAAAAAAAATTCTCATTAGGGTGACTATAAATTCACATATTACGGTTGATTTTAATGACAGCTTCTACACAAGTCAAGTCTTTACAAATACACAGCAGAAGAAAAAGATATGAGTATTGTTACACGTTTAGCAGTTTACTGCATACTAATATCTGAGCAATCTGGGCAAGTCTCTGATAAAATAAATTTTCTGTGATCCAACTTATAAAATGAATCTTACTACCAGGTATATGAGAGAAAAACTGTCACAGCTATTTTGTCTTTTAACAGATGGAAATTCAATTTCCATGACTAGAATTTACTTGGGATTATTTTTTGTACTACAAAATACAATATAAATTCTGATAGGATTACAGGAATGGAGGCATAATTTTTTCCCTGACATACTCAATGCAAATGAAATACAGATGGCAATATTATAAGTAATAATGTATAACATGTAAGGCCCATGCACTCTCCAAACCATATAGCACCTCAACACAAAATGATTTACCAATCCACATTCTCATATACAGAACCATTGACATACCAGTTCAATTTTTGGCAGACATACCTTGTAATAGCATTCCAACAGATTAAGGACCAACTTTTTTAACTGGACATTACTGCTATTAAACTACTAAAAATGAGAAAAACGACCCATGATCAGTTGCACCTCAGCAACAAAAAACCCAAAGAATGAAGAACCAAATGTCAAAAATGGAAACCCAGCCAGGGTCAACATAATATAATACTTTGTCAAAATCTACTATTTGGAGAGAGCATGGTTAATACAAATGTAAAAGCAAGGAGCAATAGTTTCCTTGAAACAGGGATACTGCATAATATATTTCAAAAAATGAATTCTTCACTTTCTTCAAAAGTACAATATCAACAATACAAAAATGCAGTCTATTTTAACTAATTTCTCCTTAAGGCTTCATAATCTATAGGGAATAATAACCAGTGAAACGAGTGTTTGTCTTCTTTGATACACAGGTGATATACAGTGCTTTCACTATTATCCAATACTGTTTCTTTCAGTTTGGTAAGAAAGTATTTCCAGAATTAACTAGCAATGCCTGTGCAGCCAAATGTAAGAAAAATGAATTGATGAGCCTAAAATGAACAATCTTACAATAAGACAGCAGATTATTATGAATACTTGTTTTCTTACATTAATGAGAAATTATATAATCATATTTGAAAAAGAACTAAGCATCAATGACATGTAATTCAATTTCACTTTATTCAGCGATATAATTCTTTATACTGAACATATTAAGCAACAAACTGGCCAGCTTGCATCAATGTATGATTCTTGTAAACCTCTCAAGAGCCCTCTATTAAAATGGATAATGGGAAAAAACTGTGTATCTCTTTCTCGAATGTGTAACAATAAAAAAACTCAATGTAGGTTATTTATTTACAACCCACCACAGCAACACTCTCAGCATGGTCTATTATCCTTTGTATTCCATACTCAGCTCATCACAGAGGTCTCCCAACCACTCACCTGCTGCAATACCTAGCCTTTGCTCATCACAGTCCACTGTGTAGCACCACAAAATTAGGTTGATGTGATAATACTCTGTCCTAAATAACACCCTAGTTATTGCCAAAGTTTAGTGGCCAGGGTGGTGGTACCCATTCCGAGGCCAGCAGTCGTAGCTGGGCCAGACATTGGCTGGGGAATACTGCCAGTGACCGGGCTGGCAGACACACTTCCAACACTCATCCCTCCCACCATCGTGGTCACGCCTCCCAAATTATGAACCTGGCCCATTACTGGAGTTTGGGCACCAATGTTGAGACCTGCCATCTGAGACTGTATCTGAAAATATAGCAAAATTAAGTATTCACTACATTCACAACGCCGAGTTACACACTACAAACGATAAAAATCAGATTACCAGCACCATATTATATCTGTGTGTGCACTGCATACATTTCCAGCAGTTAGTTTTTGCAGTTAATTTTTGTAATACCCACTTGTTACCACAATAGCATTTTTCTTTATCTTTTACTCTACAAGCACACATTCCATAAGACTATACCATGACCATGCCTACGAAATTATTCAACAGAACATAAAGCATATTCTGAAGAAGAAAAAAAAATGGATGATAATGGGTGGCAGTGGGTCAACTGTAGTACTGGCAATGGATGACAGTACTGATGAGTGGTGGGTGCCAAAAGTGCCAAGGAATGATGATGGGTGGTGGACTGCAATGATGCAGAGTGGTGGTAGAAGGATGTTATAATACTAATAACAGTTATAATTCAAGAGCATGGGGCTAGTAACCCCTTTCTCCTGTATATATTACTAAATGCAAAAGGAGAAACTTTTGTTTTTCCTTTTGGGCCACCCCGCCTCAGTGGGATACGGCTGGTGTGCTGAAAGAAAGAACAGTTATAATTATAGTCTTTACAGTACTGTAGCTGTAATAAAATAAATACCTGAGCAAATGGATTTGCTGCTGAAAGCTGTATAGCTGTGGGCAGACCCTGAGGCATTCCATTGGCAAAGAAAGGGTTAGGAACACCAGCTGCTCCTGGTATACCAGCCTGAAAAAAGATGTCAAATATAACATGCATACATGCTGTGTGTGAGTCTTGTGTGGCCAATACACAGTCATGTGAGAGCCATTTCCCGATGTGACGGTGATGGAAAAAAGCTGACCAAGAACCTAACTGTTACTTGATCAAGAACAGTCTGTTGTCCTCTTAACTTGGACCAATGAACCACCACCTGTCTAGCTTCTATTTCCCTACCAATGAAGCATGTTGTCCACCTGAGGGTTGAAATTCCACAGGCAGGTTCAACTTTAAAAGAAATTAAAAAACAAGAAGTTTATGGGTCACCATACACTGTAGATGCACAGGGCAGTGTTTAGTTTGGTCTCTGCATGTCATGGCCATCCTGAGGGAGTCGAAGACCACCCAGTACAGCAAAGACCGTAATTTTCCCACCAGGTAAATAAAGGATTTGCCATCAGGGAGTCCTAATTCCTAGAAAACCTTGAACAACTCTTTGTAATATAATCTGCATGTTTAAAATTTTGTGGAGACAAAAAACGTTATCTATGGAGGCAAAGAAGGGAATGTATGAAAGTATAGTAGTACCAACACTCTTATATGGGTGTAAAGCTTGGGTTGTGAATGCAGCAGCGAGGAGGCGGTTGGAGGCAGTGGAGATATCCTGTCTAAGGGCAATGTGTGGTGTAAATATTATGCAGAAAATTTGGAGTGTGGAAATTAGGAGGTGGTGTGGAGTTAATAAAAGTATTAGTCAGAGGGCTGAAGAGGGGTTGTTGAGGTGGTTTGGTCATTTAGAGAGAATGGATCAAAGTAGAATGACATGGAGAGCGTTTAAGTCTCTAGCGGAAGGAAGGCGGGGTAGGGGTCGTCCTTGAAAAGGTTGGAAGGAAGGGGTAAGGGAGGTTTTGTGGGCGAGGGGCTTGGACTTCCAGCAGGCGTGCGTGAGAGCGTGTTCAATAGGAGTGAATGGAGACGAATGGTATTTGGGACCTGACTAGCTGTTGGAGTGTGAGCAGGGTAATATTTAGTGAAGGGATTCAGGGAAACCAGTTATTTTTATATAGCCGGACTTGAGTCCTGGAAATGGGAAGTACAATGCCTGCACTCTAAAGGAGGGGTTTGGGATATTGGCAGTTTGGAGGGATATGTTGTGTATCTTTATATGTATATGCTTCTAAGCTGTTGTGTTCTGAGAACCTCTGCAAAAACAGTGATTATGTGTGAGTGAGGTGAAAGCGTTGAATGATGATGAAAATATTTTCTTTTTGGGTCACCCTGCCTCGGTAGGAGATGGCCGACTTGTAAAAAAAAAAAAAAAAAGTTACAATTTTGGAAAATTATGCTTAAAAATTTCAATAAATAAAATAGTCCTACTCTGCATTTCCCTATCATTTTTATTTTAAATGTCATTGCTCTTTCAACATACAAAATACTTACATTCTGCTTAATGTTTAACCCATTCAGGGTTTCGGCCGTACTAGTACGGCTTACGTGCCAGGGTCCTTGACGTACTAGTACTCATAAATTCTAGCGCCTTCAAATCTAGTGAGAGAAAGCTGGTAGGCCTACATATGAAAGAATGGGACTATGTGGTCAGTGTGCGCAGTATAAAAAAAATCCTGCAGCAAACAGTGTGTAATGAGAAAAAAAAAAAAACTTTGACCGTGTTTTTGGATTAAAACAGCGACTTTGCACTGTATTTTCGTATGGTATTTATTGTTGTATTCTAGTTTTCCTGGTCTCATTTGATAGAATGAAAGACATATTACAGAAATTGAGATGATTTTTGACTGGTTTTTACAATGAAAAGTACCTTGAAATTGAGCTCAAAGTAGCAGAAATGTTCGATTTTTACCAAAGTTCAAAAGTAAACAAATCATGCTAAGCGTCCAATACACATCAACTGGTGAGTCTAATATTTTTTCACAAGTGCGCCGATATTATTTATACCATTTCTACACTAATGCAGTAGTCTGCATAACAGTAAATCTTCTATTTTTTGCGAGAATAAAAATTCAAAATGGAAAGCAAAAGAATGTAAGAGGGGTGTGGAGACATGACTAATGAACAGAGGAAATGTTATTTTAGTGCCAGGAATGTCTTTCTTGTTTATTCTGAACCCTATTTGGAAATTGGCATCTTTTGAAATTTGTGTGAAATTGGCAAAATTGCTAAATTCTGACCACTGTATTGGATAGTTGAAATCGGTAAATGGGTGGTTTCTTGTACTCATTCGATAGAAAAAATGGAGTTCTAGCAAAATAGGTATGATTTTTGTCGACTAGTACATTGGAATTGGCTGAAAATAGGGCTCAAAGTGGGCAAAATCGCCGATGCATAAACCATTGTCGAGACCGCTAACTTCGCGAGAGCATAATTCCGTAAGTTTTCCAACAAATTTCATACTTTTGGTGTCATCATGATCGGGGAAAAGATTCTCTATCTTTTCATAAGAAAAATTTTTTTTTTTTTTTTTTTGGGGGGGGGGGGGGGGAATTGGGGGGTACCCAGAGAACAAGTCTCTGAGAGGGCCTGTGGACCCTGAAAGGGTTAAAAAATACCCACTTACAGACATCCAGCAAGCATGCATGAAAGTGTTAGAACAAAGTTAGTAGAAACAGGTGGTTTGGGAAAATTTATGTCCAGTTGAAGCGTGAGCAATGTAATCTATGAAAATATTCAGGTAAACTGGTCACCTGGATTTGTGTTCTGTGGCGAGATGCACTAGGCCTGCACTTTGAAAAGTTAGGTGAAAAAGTTATGGTTTGGTGGGTCATCATTAACCTTACTGGAAAGACAGCTATAAATTTAGCAAGTGAATGTTTTCCTCAACTGGTCACTTGTCCCTGGCAGGAAACAAATAAAAAATGCATAGTTTCATTCCAATGATAATAAACTATAATGGTAATAAACTTTAAGTGTAAAACAGGAGAGAAAGTTTTTTTTTTTTTTTAACAAGTCAGCCGTCTCCCACCGAGGCAGGGTGACCCAAAAAAAGAAATAAAATCCCCAAAAAGAAAATACTTTCATCATCATTCAACACTTTCACCACACTCACACATTATCACTGTTTTTGCAGAGGTGCTCAGAATACAACAGTTTAGAAGCATACACATATAAAGATACACAACATATCCCTAGCCACATGGTGACTATCTTCTCTTAGTTAATATTAAGGATTATGCTGGAAGAATTATGTTTATTTTATACCTAGATGTGCATTAGTTATGATTCCATGACATTTTGAAAAAATTACACATCTAAAAATTCTTAACTATCACTGATTAGAATAAAAATGTTCTTCAGCAAAATCCGTCAATAACCTTGACAGCTATTGTATTTCCAGACATTCCCTTTAATAAACTCCTAATTCTCTAATTTATGCATCAATTAATATGCATCTCTTTCTAAAAATATCATGTACAATTTCTCTCTCATAAAAGAAGCACAGTTTTATTCATTAACGTACCTGAGTCATAAACATCACATTTTGTTGTTGCTGTGACATCAGTGCACCATTCTGCATTACAGGAGGGGGTTGTCCCATAGATTGTCCAGGAGGCGGCCCTGCCATATATACATTGCTAGGAACACCAAATATGCTTGCCGGTTGAGGTTGTGCAGGAGCCTGGCCATACAGAGCAAGGATAGAGTCTTTAGTCAACTTATCTGTGCCACCCTCAGGTAACTTCTGGTTAAAGAAGTTCTCTTCATCAGCCTTAGTTGAATCACCTGTAGTAGGTGGAATAGAGGAGGCTATGCTGGGTGCACTACTAATGCTGCTGGACTGACTGGCTGGTGCTGCCAGGAATTCTCCAAAGGGATCAGCATTATCGCTAGTCGTTCCATTTGTTGACAAGGCATCTAAAATAAAAATGCTAATATAGATAATGATTCATGGTAAATCTAGTGTTTACAGATTTCTTTACAAAAAAAAAAATAACCTACAGTGTGATCATCCATTTATTAAAGATGATCATACTACTGTACTTTTCATTACATCAGTGCATGATTTAAAATATAAATATGATAAAATTAATGGAGTTAGTGTTAAATCATAAAGCTACTGATTAATAATTATGAGGAAGGCTAAGAACTTAAAAACCCCACTCTAAATAAAACTATGAAGGCACAATTTTAATTAATTAAAAAATATAATAGCAGTACTAACCAAGTCCTAAAAGATCTTGTGTTGCACTGCTGGTGGTGGTGGTTGTAGTGGTGGTTGCCTTGGCCGAGGACGTGGCATTTTTAGCCAATGTGGATGGGGAAGGAGACGAGCTTTTACTCCCAGGCGCTTTTGGCAAAGGTTTGGGGGAGACACTGGAGCCTCTTGTGTTGCTACGGCCACTGATAGTAGAAGGCAATTCTACTGTCCCACTGGCCTAGAGTAATCATTGCAATAATCATTAATGGGGGAAAAGCTAGAAATACCCCAAGGAAAGGCCAGGAAAGGGTAGGAGGAGGGCAAAGGGGGATTTTCGCAACAAAAGCTTGAGCATCCTGCAGGAAGGACTGCATGAAGCAGTCCTGACTAGTGAGGTTGCTAATGGGTAGGCCTGGTCTGGGAGAAAAGCTCAAGGAAAATGATCCCTAGATTCGATAAAAGTTGCATCTTGCCAGTTTAAAGTTTGGGTCAAAATGATTAGGTTGGGATGCATGAGAGCTTTGAACATGGGTTGTATAGAAAAATGGATCCAGAGAGCATCTAAGAAACACCTTTTTAGAAATGAGTACATTACTGATCTTTCAATGGAATCTAATTATGAAGATAATACGTATAAGTACGTATAACCATGTTCCTGTGGTATCACCATACATACATTATGCAGCTATGTTCTAGATTTATTTGAACTCCTTTATCACTTGTTTAAATGGATGTCTCATATTATCTTTGTGTTACACTACATTACAGTGGCAGTACCCAGTAAGAGTATTTTCACATGAAAAGCCAATTACTGGGAATTCCAATCACTGTTTCATCGGTAAAAATATATTACCAACACAGCATGGCTGCCACCATCAGTACAGTCATTTCCAGAGTTCTGATTAAGCAGTGACCTCGTTTTAACCCTTCATGGGGGATTTTATTTTCTCATTAAAGGAATTTACCTAACAATTTTACACTATTACCATAAACTACAGTGTTATAATATTCAAAGAAAAATATGCCTACAGAGTATATACAGTACATGTTTTTCAAGATAATACATGTTGCAGACAGGTTGGTTGAGGGCACATAATATACAGTAGACCATCGTTTAACACTGTTTTGTTTGGCATGTTTTGGTTATAGCACTATTGAAGAATTGCAGCATATTTTTGTATAACACTTCGTAAAATTAACTTAACATGGCTCAGTTTGCGGGAGGGAAAAAATTTGGAGCTTTGCCCATGGGGTACACTCTGCCTGGCTGTGGGTTAGACCAGTGAGCCAATGGGGGAGACCTATTGCCATCCCCCATCACCCTCCACTACTCCCACTACCCTTGTCCCAGCCTTGGGTTCATACGTGAGTAGGACCATCCACTGCTAGGTAAATATGAGTAAATATGAGTTTGTGTGATGACTGGCTGACTTACTAACTTGACTGATTTACTTACTGATTTACTGACTTGACTGGCTGACTTATTGACTTGACTGACTTATGCACACTCCAGTACAACCATTGACTTCAGTACCAGACCCTCTACCATCCACCTCAGCCCAGTAGGGCCACAGCATAACTCTCCACAATCATCCACAAACACCAGCACCCAAAGTAAAAACAACATAATACATCACGACAATGAACTACAATTACATATTCACTTTTATTTTTGTAAGATCTGTTGGTCTAAAAAAAAAGTTGTTGGGCTTTTTGGGGGCTCTCAGAAACGTAACCCTATTTTTCCCATAAGCTCTCCAGTTTGTCTAATACGGTTTTAAACTACCATGGTGTTTTCATGAACATAACTACCATGTTAAACGACGGTCTACTGTACCCTCAAAGACAAGATTCTGTGATACAGTACACAATATATGCCATATACACTTGTTGTCTCTTCTTTAATTAACAAGATGACTGTGTATATAAATAAATCACTTTAAAAATCTCACTATTTTTAATGTCAAAATGGGCAAAATTAATAAATCAATAAAATCAACTCATGAGGGGGGTTAAGAGATGACCAAGACAAGAGGAGTATCAAGCCTCCACAATGTTTGGTGCTGAATGACCCACTTAACATGACAAAAAAAATTTAATGATGACAAACAAAAAAAATTACATATTAATGAGACAATGCTGTGCAACATGGTACAGTGGAACCTCAAATATCGAACTTAATCCGTTCCAGGAGTTAGTTCTAAATTCAAAAAGTCTGAAAAGCGAAGCAATATTTTCCATAAGAAATAATGGAAATAAAATTAATCCGTTCTAGAAACCCAAAAATATTCACACAAAAAAATACATTTTTTTTTTTTATTTTTTTTTTATTATCACACCGGCCGATTCCCACCAAGGCAGGGTGGCCCGAAAAAGAAAAACTTTCACCATCATTCACTCCATCACTGTCTTGCCAGAAGGGTGCTTTACACTACAGTTTTTAAACTGCAACATTAACACCCCTCCTTCAGAGTGCAGGCACTGTACTTCCCATCTCCAGGACTCAAGTCCGGCCTGCCGGTTTCCCTGAATCCCTTCATAAATGTTACTTTGCTCACACTCCAACAGCACGTCAAGTATTAAAAACCATTTGTCTCCATTCACTCCTATCAAACACGCTCACGCATGCCTGCTGGAAGTCCAAGCCCCTCGCACACAAAACCTCCTTTACCCCCTCCCTCCAACCCTTCCTAGGCCGACCCCTACCCCGCCTTCCTTCCACTACAGACTGATACACTCTTGAAGTCATTCTGTTTCGCTCCATTCTCTCTACATGTCCGAACCACCTCAACAACCCTTCCTCAGCCCTCTGGACAACAGTTTTGGTAATCCCGCACCTCCTCCTAACTTCCAAACTACGAATTCTCTGCATTATATTCACACCACACATTGCCCTCAGACATGACATCTCCACTGCCTCCAGCCTTCTCCTCGCTGCAACATTCATCACCCACGCTTCACACCCATATAAGAGCGTTGGTAAAACTATACTCTCATACATTCCCCTCTTTGCCTCCAAGGACAAAGTTCTTTGTCTCCACAGACTCCTAAGTGCACCACTCACTCTTTTTCCCTCATCAATTCTATGATTCACCTCATCTTTCATAGACCCATCCGCTGACACGTCCACTCCCAAATATCTGAATACGTTCACCTCCTCCATACCTCTCCCTCCAATCTGATATTCAATCTTTCATCACCTAATCTTTTTGTTATCCTCATAACCTTACTCTTTCCTGTATTCACCTTTAATTTTCTTCTTTTGCACACCCTACCAAATTCATCCACCAATCTCTGCAACTTCTCTTCAGAATCCCCCAAGAGCACAGTGTCATCGGCAAAGAGCAGCTGTGACAACTCCCACTTTGTGTGTGATTCTTTATCTTTTAACTCCACGCCTCTTGCCAAGACCCTCGCATTTACTTCTCTTACAACCCCATCTATAAATATATTAAACAACCACGGTGACATCACACATCCTTGTCTAAGGCCTACTTTTACTGGGAAAAAATTTCCCTCTTTCCTACATACTCTAACTTGAGCCTCACTATCCTCGTAAAAACTCTTCACTGCTTTCAGTAACCTACCTCCTACACCATACACTTGCAACATCTGCCACATTGCCCCCCTATCCACCCTGTCATACGCCTTTTCCAAATCCATAAATGCCACAAAGACCTCTTTAGCCTTATCTAAATACTGTTCACTTATATGTTTCACTGTAAACACCTGGTCCACACACCCCCTACCTTTCCTAAAGCCTCCTTGTTCATCTGCTATCCTATTCTCCGTCTTACTCTTAATTCTTTCAATTATAACTCTACCATACACTTTACCAGGTACACTCAACAGACTTATCCCCCTATAATTTTTGCACTCTCTTTTATCCCCTTTGCCTTTATACAAAGGAACTATGCATGCTCTCTGCCAATCCCTAGGTACCTTACCCTCTTCCATACATTTATTAAATAATTGCACCAACCACTCCAAAACTATATCCCCACCTGCTTTTAACATTTCTATCTTTATCCCATCAATCCCGGCTGCCTTACCCCCTTTCATTTTACCTACTGCCTCACGAACTTCCCCCACACTCACAACTGGCTCTTCCTCACTCCTACAAGATGTTATTCCTCCTTGCCCTATACACGAAATCACAGCTTCCCTATCTTCATCAACATTTAACAATTCCTCAAAATATTCCTTCCATCTTCCCAATACCTCTACCTCTCCATTTAATAACTCTCCTCTCCTATTTTTAACTGACAAATCAATTTGTTCTCTAGGCTTTCTTAACTTGTTAATCTCACTCCAAAACTTTTTCTTATTTTCAACAAAATTTGTTGATAACATCTCACCCACTCTCTCATTTGCTCTCTTTTTACATTGCTTCACCACTCTCTTAACTTCTCTCTTTTTCTCCATATACTCTTCCCTCCTTGCATCACTTCTACTTTGTAAAAACTTCTCATATGCTAACTTTTTCTCCCTTACTACTCTCTTTACATCATCATTCCACCAATCGCTCCTCTTCCCTCCTGCACCCACTTTCCTGTAACCACAAACTTCTGCTGAACACTCTAACACTACATTTTTAAACCTACCCCATACCTCTTCGACCCCATTGCCTATGCTCTCATTAGCCCATCTATCCTCCAATAGCTGTTTATATCTTACCCTAACTGCCTCCTCTTTTAGTTTATAAACCTTCACCTCTCTCTTCCCTGATGCTTCTATTCTCCTTGTATCCCATCTACCTTTTACTCTCAGTGTAGCTACAACTAGAAAGTGATCTGATATATCTGTGGCCCCTCTATAAACATGTACATCCTGAAGTCTACTCAACAGTCTTTTATCTACCAATACATAATCCAACAAACTACTGTCATTTCGCCCTACATCATATCGTGTATACTTATTTATCCTCTTTTCCTTAAAATATGTATTACCTATAACTAAACCCCTTTCTATACAAAGTTCAATCAAAGGGCTCCCATTATCATTTACACCTGGCACCCCAAACTTACCTACCACACCCTCTCTAAAAGTTTCTCCTACTTTAGCATTCAAGTCCCCTACCACAATTACTCTCTCACTTGGTTCAAAGGCTCCTATACATTCACTTAACATCTCCCAAAATCTCTCTCTCTCCTCTGCATTCCTCTCTTCTCCAGGTGCATACACGCTTATTATGACCCACTTCTCGCATCCAACCTTTACTTTAATCCACATAATTCT